AAAAACTTTTCTAACCTTTGACAAAGAACTGACTTTTTGCAGTTACAACAAAGTAGGTAGATTCATGGTTGAACACAACTCAAGATACTGGAGATAGAGCCGAGATTAATGAAAGAACAAAGAAATAACGTAATCGGGATTTATCGGCCACCAAACAACATTGATTAGTACGACTATTTCATCATTGGAAGCCCTATATTGACCTTACAAATTGTTTTAAATTTTAATTAGAAAGTTGGACAACTATTTGCAATAGTTAATCAGGAATTTACAGTCTAGGCTATACCACCTCTATGCTTACCCCATCACTTTTTTTTTCAAATTCCTTTCTAGTATTTCAGATCTTCAAGAAAAAAAATTGTAAACCTCACATTTATTGCTTGTAAACTAAGTGCTGGACCCTGTGCTAGGTGCCTTCTTATAACTTTATATGATTTAGGATCTCAGAGACACCAATCAACTCTCTGTTCTTAGGGTCATATTAATACAGACACATAAGCCTCTAATTTTATTGATGCTTCTCTTTCTCTCTTCTGCCATTAAAAAGAAACCAAGCACAAAATGTGCACCAGGAAAGTATGTTCAAGCCTAAGTTCAGAAGTGGACATCTCACTAAAAATGGCCAGATGTGTCTAATTAACACGAAGACTGAGATTTAGGGCTGTTCCCTGAGGCTACTCTCTAAAGCTGCACCCACTAGGATCCCCTGTCTTGTCTCCTTCTATCTCCACCCCACCAGCTGCACCCACTATGCTCCCTGGGCATCTAGAACATAAATATTTCCGGCAACTCCAATGTTTTTTTACTCACAATGGGCAGCAAAGTGCCCTTGGGCTGAATTTTCTGACATAGGTGGAGAAAAGCTGAATGTTGCCCATTGCTGGCATCACCCATGAGGTATACAGGCATGCCATTAAGCTTTAGTCCCTACTAGCTACGAAGGTTGCTCAGGCAGCAGATAACTGACTCAGGGGCTCTGCCACATCTAATCTCAAAGGCTGAGTGGATCAATGCTTGTTATACATTCATGGAACACCAGTTAGGAAATGTGCCTTATGCTATTAATTATCACTTCTCACTCCCATATTTTCAACTCTTCTCCTTACTAGTTCTTTCCCTTTTAATTTACAAAACTAACCCCCCATCCATTCTTTATTTTCCCCTCAGCTACCGTTCTGTCTTCCTTTCACCAAACAGCTAAGCTTTTGGAAAAGTCTACACACTATTCCCAATCGCTCTTTTTTCATCCTATTGTAATCTAGACTTTAATGAAACTATTTTTGCTAGTTATAAATAACCTTGCTATATTTAATGGATAGTTCTCAGTCCTTATTGGCATTTGACATGATTGACTGTTCCTTCCTTCTTGGAACTTTCTCTTCCCTTGGCTTCAATGACATTACATTTTGAGTGATAAGTATGTGTTGAACACTAAGAATAAGATACAATCTCTACTCTCAGGGAGCATAAATGGAAATATGCTGAATAATAATTGATTAGAAGTTCAAGAGTTCATCTGAAAAGACAAATCTTCTTGACACTGAAATTGAGGAATTTATTAAATGGGCTTCATTTATCTGAATTAAAAAGTACCCTAAGCAATTCCTTTATAATTAACTTTTTAAAAGTTATATGTAACATTTCTTATGGTGACATTTCATTAGATCTTAATTCAGTGGAGGTATTTTGAAGTTGATTTAATTTAATTTAAGTAGATTGATTTCTGGTGATCTCACAGTTCAAGATTAAAGAACCAAGGGTCTAAGTTGGCTAATAAATCCAGTAGCCTCTATCAAATGTGAATCAACTTCCAGTTTGGATCTTACCAATTTATGTTTGAATTCTTTGATTGTTGCATTGCCCAAATTACCAATGGACTCAATACCTCTAAATGTCAGCACAGAAAATGACAGTTTACCTTGAATGTTTAGAATATTATTTGTTCCCACCGAAAGAGCACCGTACCCTTTTATCAGTATAAATCCAATTATTAATTGATTTGATTGTTGAGAAATAGGTGGGCAACATAAAATATACTCATCAATACCCACAGCCACGTGCCACGTAATAGGCTGGCTCAGTAAATGTAAATAACATGATAAATCTTACAACCTAGTCAGAAAGCAAAGAACAGACTTTGCTTTAGCATAAAGCTCATCCAGGATGTCTTCTAATTTTCTCATATTTGGTTCTTCTCTTATAAAAATGTACTCGAGAAATTCATTTAAGAGATATTTATTGATTTCATACTATTAATGTAGGGAGAAGGCAAGAGAACTAAAGTGTTAAATCAAGCTACAATCACAGACTGCAATATGCTCATCGGCCCTGCAGCCAGACCATGAGGACACCTGCAGAACAAAGGAAGATTTCTGCTGGGATTGCTAACAACCCATTTCTCCACACTGGGAAGGGAAAACAGGAAAATAGCATTTTTAAGTGGTGTTCTACACAAAATAAAAATCATTCATTCCTTATGGCTAAAACCAGAGAGCCTATGGATTAAAGGCTGGGAACTGCCAGCAGGCCTCTCACAGCTGCATAGTCTTATCTTTTCATGCTACATACTCTTTCTCTTCCCCTTCCTCACTGTATGTCCATATCAAAGGAAATGGGTAAACCAAGTCTTTAAACTGTAACTCACAGGAACTAAAGAATGACATATAAACTGAATTCTCTGAAGAACACTGGGGGTGGGGGGGGGGTCCTTCCCAGTGCCTTTACTTTGTCTCTGACCCTCTGAGTCTCTCTTAGCTCTCTCACTCTCTGCTTCAGATGGGAGACCATGCTCTATGGAGTAGTGTTACCACTTCTCCAATAAATTTTCCTTGTGACTCTAACTTTGGTGTGTATGTTAGAATTCTTTCTACACTCTCCGCCAAGAACCCTCTTCTTAGTGCAGGGCTTCGTCTCCCCCGCTTTGAGGGAATTTGCCCTGTTCTGCATCACTATGTGCTAATTATTTGATGCATGACAGACTTCTATTCTCATTGATCTTTTATTTCTGTGAGTGGAGATAGAGAGACAATCAAACAATTGTTTTAGATCATGATAAGTGCTATGAAAAGAAATGAGGTAACATGGAGAGTGACTGGGGTGCTATTTTAATTGGGTGATCAGGGAAGGCCTCTTTGACAGGCTGCCTCAGGTGACATTAGCTGCAACCTGACACAAGAAGCTACGTGAACATCTAAAGGAACAGTGTTCTCAAAGACATAATTGCAAAGGCCCTGAGCCCAGAACCAGCTTAGCATGTCTCAGGATCAAAATGAATCTTAATTACTAACATTGATTATCTTAGGATATATTTGGGAGTGTAAAGATTTATAAGTCAAGGTCTCTGTCCTAAAGGAGCTCTGTAACAGGCCGACAAAAAGATAACCATAGAGTGCAGAACAATACTGTAGGAACATTAGTATGTAAAAAGAAATGCTAAGGAGTTGTTAATTCTCTGGCAAGTAATTCAGGGAAGGCTTCTCAAAGGAGGTAATGTAAAAGCAAGATTTTGAATAACAATAGAATTGACAGGCAGGGAAGAGGTTGGGAGCAGGGAGGCAGGACACTACAAACAGGCTGTTTCTTCTTATTGGTGAACACTACAATAGAAGAAAGTGAGGCTCAAGAGGACAGAGGCCAAGCCATGAAGGGCCTTATATTCTGTGCATGATGGAAATAATCAAAATGCTCTATGGAAAGAACCACAGGACTGGATTTGTGTTTTACATGGATCACTATAGGCTGTCTCTCTTAAACATCTCTGTGGGAGAATAAATTTGGGGCAGCACTAGGGGCAGTGATAACGATGAAATAAGGATAGTGGCGGGGATCTGAGATAAGAAATGAGGGGGGTTTTAGGAGTTGATGAAACAAATGGGTAGGGCTGATTGTTCACCAATAACTTTCAGTATCTGGCTCATAGTAGACACTCAGTCAATACTTGTAGAACGAATAAATGAATGATGACTAGATGTGTGGCAGCATGATGTGTGATGAACAGAAGTCACAAGCCCCTCATTCAAATATAAATTCTTCCAATAGACAACATTTGAGTCCTTAAGCCTGTTAGGTGTGTTGCTTTAATCTTAACAACCTTAAGAGGTAAGCGTTAATTCCATTTTTCAGATGAGAAAAATCTGAGGCTCAGATAGGTAATGCACCAAGACCGAGGTTCTAGAACTAGTCAGAAGCTAAACTTAAGTCTAACAGATAGCCAGGTGCGCATGCTTGATAGTTAGTTTATACCTCTTAGCATAGAGGCTCAAAGAATAAAATTAATTACTTAAAGCCTAAAAACAGACATCTAAGAAAAGTCGATAACTCTCAACAGGGAGAAAAGGGGTTCCAGAACTTTCCTGCCAGCTGGTTTACTAGAAGACCGGAACGGAGCGTCACAACCGCCTGAAGCCAAGCCTTCCAGCGCGACAAAGGGGCCGGAGCAGGAGTTGGGGGGAACAAGACGGGGCTCCCCTTCCCGGCAGCTCGTGAGCGCCGCGGCCTGGGGGCGCAGGAACAAGGGCCGCAGAGAGGGAGACGGAGGCGCAGGCGCAGGCGTCTACTCGGGATGGCTCGCCTTAGACGCCGCGGGGAGTTCTGACGTCATTTCCTTCGCTAGTGTTTCCGGGTTGCGGTCATTTAGGGCCCGTATCTGGGTGACTTCTTGGTTGCCCAGTTGCTGTCGGCTCCCCACCCCCAGCTCCTGTGCGGTCCCGCGGGCCTCCCGATTTCGGCTTGCTTTCCCCCTTTCGGGACCTCCCTCTCCGGTTCCCTCTGGGCCTTCAGCCCCTGATTGCCCGGGCTTGCCGCGCCGTCGCTCGTCGCTGTTGTCTGAGGTGGGTTAGGTGACGCAGAGAGCCCCGTCCCGCCCCCCACCTACCCACTCACCGCCTCAGCGCGGCCAGCCGCTACCTTTCGCCTTCCGCCATTTTCTCCCCTGTGAGGGTGGGCCGATCGCGCCTGGGGTCTCGGGCTCCTGCGTGCGGGTGACCGGGGATGGAGAGGGAATGCTTCTGGGGGTGGGGTTGGGACAAAGTCACGGTGACGGATGTGTTTGTGGGAGTTGCAGGTGGAGACGCAGATACAGTAGGTGGGGGATGAAGTGCAGGAATCGACCATGGTTGAACTACATGGGTTCAATTCAGTTTTTTTCCTTTGGGTTTTAAGAGATTAATGTCCGAAGTGGCCGTGTCGGCCTTGACTCTCTCTTTCCAGGGTTTCTAGGTAGGATGCTCTCGAAAATCAGCTGTTTAGGATGCTGTTTAGGAAATCTTAAAGAGGGTTTCATTTCTCTTACGGTTTTAGGATATAAGTAGTTTTTTCAGCAAGCTACGTCGTCCGTGAATTCATCTTGCCCTTTTTGTTCCTTTTTCATAGCTAAGGGATTGGCATGTCCTAGGTCCTTAGCGATAGCTAATTGAATACGCTAATTATGGAAGGCCCTAATTCCTATTCTCATCACGTATGCCGTTAACCGTTTTCATATAAATTGTTTTTAAGATGAGAAGAATCATGATCTATGTGAACATTCTGTTAAATGCACAATTATCTAATCTGTTGATCTGTTTAAGTCCCGAGGCGTGGATTAAAAGCAAAGTGTATGTTCTTGAAATGCTATGCGTTTTTTTGTATGTCATTTATTATGAATCTATTTGAGGAGGGAGGAAAGTTTGGAGGATATAGAATTTGCTGTTATCTTTACACCACTGGGAGAAGGATATGACGTTATTGTTACTCCATTTTGGGGGGATTACTGCTTTGTAGGATAATGTGAAGTAAAGCAGCTTCAGAAGGAAAAGTATATGATATCCTTTTATACGTTAATGATAGACTCAGTTGATAAATACTAATAAAACATCTATTGTTCTTTTTCAGTTAAGGAACCTAAGATGAATAGTTATTTCTAAATTAATAGGTCTGTGACTTTTATTTAGATAATTTTTTATTACATCACGTACTTCAGATGTAGTAGTGTTTAAGAAATAGTTGTTGATTGACATGTAGACTAGTAATTTTACTGTACTGTGTTCTGACTTCAACCTATTTTATAATTGTTTCTAATATTTAATATAAATTTTTTCAATGCAGGAAAGATGAATGGGAGGGCTGATTTTCGAGAGCCGAATGCTGAAGTTGCAAGACCAATTCCCCGTAACTATCAATTATTTATAATTAGAAGCCCTTTCTGTGTAGAGAAATTTTTACTGCCTTGAATAACAGCGTAGCAGCTGAGCTGGCTTCATAGGTGTGTGACCTGCAGAGTCATACAGGGATCCACACTTGTTTTAAATAATCTTCTGTTGCCATCCTGAAATGCTTAATAATTTGAACAAGGGGTCCCAAATGTTCATTTTGCACCAGGCATATAGCACATTGTGTAGTAAGTCCTAACTAGCAGATGGTAGCATTAACTTCTGTTTGAAGTCAAAGTTTGTTAAAAGTTTACAAGTCACTTATTACTTCATTTTTTTTTAAATGGCAGTACTTTGTTAATGTATAGACTGGGGTAATTTTTTAGACTTAGTTGTTCCATGTTTTAATGTTTGTCGAATTTCCTTGGTAAAAAGACATAGGGGCTGATTACATTCCAACAGAGGAAGAAAGAAGAGTCTTCGCAGAATGCAATGATGAAAGTTTTTGGTTCAGATGTAAGTTAAATTTTCTAATCAACAAAATATGACCTTCAGTACCCCAAATTTTAATGACTTCATATAGAAAAATAGGCATACTTTTGTTGTAGTGAATATTACTAATAGAGGTTACTTAAGGAAATAGAATTGTACGCATTTTAAAGTAATATCTAGAACTTTTTTCAGGAGTGTGAAATATTTCTGTTGGCGATAGTAATAGCATTTACTGAATGTACATGGATTATCTAAAAAACAATCTCATAAGGTTCATAACTTTTACCTTTACAGATGAAGAAATTGAGGTTTAGAGATGTGAAATGAGTTATCTAGTGTTACACAGCTGATTAGTCATGATATCTGAACTTTGAAGCCAAGTCTCCCTGAAACTGAACCTCATGATTTTAACTCACCTTTTAACCATTACATGATAAAATATGGTTAGTTCCCATTGTATCATTTTGAACTGTTATTACACTGCCAGCTTTTAATTTCTGACTAAAGATCTTATACATGAAGATTTCATTTTTTAAGAACAGAGACTGTTGAAAGAAACATAAAACATTATCTTACTTTTGAACAGAACCCTAGTGTTACTCCACTTGGTCATTGCAGTCCTTTCAGATAAGGTAATTCTAACAAAAAGGCAGTACAGAATTTTTAAAAAGGGAGGTGTGACTTAAGTAATTAAAGAGGCTGTACGTTTTCATCAGTCGGACTGGTGTTTATGCTTACAGTGTATAAGGTACTATGCTTGGAAGATAAGTTTTATGACACACAGTCTTAGTCCTAAAGTGGTTTTGTGGTGTAGTTGAGACAAAGGTAACTCATGAAACACTTTGAGAAAGAATAGGAATTTTAAAAAGAGATAAATTGTATTTAGTTAAAGGCAGTATTATACCATGGAGACTTGGCAACTAATAGGACTTTAGGTGAATGAAGAAAAGTGGTGGTGGAACATTTAGATGAAAGGAATAGTGAGCAAAGGCAGAGTCTGCAGTAACTTGATCTCTTCTAGAGTCGAGTTTGCAATAATTAGGGTTTTTTTGGGTGCTGGAAAATAAACATAACACCAAGGAATTAAAGGTTTGATTTGTTATATATTTTAGGTTCTTGGGCCAAGGGGATGATTGTGTGTGTGTGTGTGTGTGTGTGTGTGTATGTATGTATGTGTGTATATACACATGTATTTTTTGTCCAGAAAAACTTAACAAGTTTACTTATAATTGTTATAAAGTTGAACTGCATGTATATATACATGTATTTTTTTTTTTTTTAGGAAGATTAGCAGTGTGCAGGACGGGTTAAAAGGGTGAGAAATTGTACTTGGTGAAGTCTGTCATGAATTTTTGGCAGTCATTCAGGCATCAGTCATTGAGGACATGTAGTTGATTGTAGTGTCTTTTGGACTATACGAGATAGGATGGGAATGAAAGATTTTTTAAAGGGTGCATAACAGGATTTTTAAATAGATTAACTTAAGGAATGAAGGAAATATTAACTTCAAGAATACCCAGCTTAGGAGACTAACAATAACATTACTAATTAAAAGGTATAGTTTGAAGGTGTTCTTGTTCGAAGAGGGAAACAAGTTTATTTTGGACATTTTGAGTTCATGGTAAAGGATCTGATGATGGAAGATCTGTAAGCAACTAGAGATAGAAACAAAGGTATATGTGAGAAATTAGGATTGTGGTCTAGGTGTGTTGTGAATTCACCAAGAAATGAAGTGTGGAAATAAAAGCATAAAATTGGTAATGGTTACTTTCACGTGGTTAATATTTACGAATGATGGAATAAATGACAGTTTGGGTAGTACACTACACATGGAGAAGGAAACAAGTGTTGGTTAAAGAATGAACAAAGACCAAGAAAGAGCAATTAAGAAGATAATAAGAGCTCTGATAAAATCTTTTACATTTTTCCTCAGTCTGATATTCACAGACTTAACAGAGTTTTAAGCTAGAAAGAACCTTTGTGAGAATTTGGTGGTGCTACACATCTCCAGGTGAGAATAATTGTTTTAGATGCATAGTCGTCATGGATCAAGGACTTCTAAAAATTGTACATGACTCACAGTTTGGGAATAATTTCACAGAGAACTCAGTTGTACTCTGGCAACACATTTTTATCTTCAGAGATTGCAGAGAGTAAATAGAATAGTGATCTATTTTCAAATCTGTTGATAACAGGGTTAAGAAAAGGTAGATAGGGTTTGGGATCATTGTAATATTAGGCTAATGGCCACATAGATACTATGGTGTCTAGATTTATTTCTGGCTGATAAATTTATGCTGCTGTACATGTTTAACATTCTAAATAGTTATAACAGCATTATGCTAAAAGTACATTGAAAGCAATGATCAGTAGGTAGGGTATTCATGTATGCGTGACTGTTAGAAGTAGGACATGCGTATGAACAATAGAAGCCTAAGTAATTCTGTGTATTAAAACAGATTAATCACAAGTTAAAAAACATATAACAGTGACAGGCTGAAACAGCTTGTTGTATAATGAATCTAGATTACTGGGAAGTTAACAGCCAAAAAATTAATATATTAATAAATAGTGATTATTCTTAAAACATATAACCTCAGTGTCACATAATGTAATACCATCGAGCACTGAAAATATATAGAACCTTGGCTGTAACTACAGACAATAGGGAATTCAACATGTAATTACATCTTACATTTATATCTTCAAATAAGGATATTTATGGAGTATGTTATGTTTACAAAGATTTATGTAAATGGATAATGAAATTATGTTTCTTAGGCGAGTATCATCTTGTGCCTATTGATTTAAAAAGGTGATTAAAGTAGGAATGTGTAGAAAAGTGCTAAGGTAACTTACACATTCTTTTAGGTCTATTAAATACTCTTCATCTTGGTTTAAAATTAGACTTGTTGATCTAGAGGCCATTCTGTAAGGTAACTGTTTCCACTCAAATCTATTTTCTGTTAATCTTAAAGCATAACTATGAAGGCATCTTATTTCCAGTTGCTTAAAATTATGGCCCTATGGACTGACAAAAAACCAGTTGTATCTGTGCCAAAACAGAGGTAATGAAAGAATCTACATAAAAAGGGTCAGTTTAATGTGTATTATATGTTACAGTAGTTCTCATCCTCTGGAATTACTGAAAAAAGTATATGAATGCACATTTGTTTCATGCATCATTTATAGATTTTGTGAATGATATTTCATACATGTATACTCCTGGTTTTCAAATGAGACAGCATAATGAGTGATAAGAGAGAATAGGCCTCACTGTCTGTATTCAAATCTCAGCTTCATCACATATTAGCTGTGAGATTTCAGGCAAGATCCTGATGCCTGTTTGCCTCAGTTTCCTTATCTGTAAAATGGGGATAATAATGAACCTATCTTAGGGGGTCGTTATGGGGATTAATTCAATTTAATTATATAAATGTTAAGTTATCTTTATTTAATGGCAGTTGGTGCCATTGTGAATAATGAAATAACAGTTTCAGTTGAAAACAGTTAGAAATTTAGAATAACACTTTGCTATTGTAAGGGGAGAAAAGTTAAAGGAATTTGAGGAGTACTTGTATTGAATATAATTGGGACCATGGTCTTAATGCAAAATAGCTTTTAGTCATCAGTGTTATCAATTTGCCTAAAGAAACATTATTTAACCGACTCTGAAATGGAGTCACATGGTATACTGGAGAAGGCCACTGACCTGGGAGTCAGGAGACTTGGGTTTTGACCTAAGCTCTACCACAAATTAACCACCTATGTTGCTTTGAGCAAATCACTTGTCCTTTTTGGATATCAGTTTACTCTGATTAGAATGTATACTAGATATTAGACTTTGAAGTCCCTTTCAGTTTACCATTCTCTTTATCTGTGATAGACTACGTGAGTTGAAAAGAGACCTTAGTTCAAATCCATTACCCTTTATAGCATGAAAAGAAGTTACGACATAGTGGTAAATGGCAGAACTAGTACTAGAAAATCCTTAACCAGACTGTTACTCTGTATCTTGCCATCTTGGCCTAAGGAGAAACTGAAATAGTGAAAGTATTGTCCATTGGAGTGATGGCCAACAAACTCATTGCCTTTCATCCTTATATGATTCTTCAGTGCTACATGTTGCAATCTTTGAACCAAGCTGAAGGAGAAAAATGATTGCAGAGAGTACTGATGCTATAATTAATAGAGACTTGTCCTTTGAAAAACCTTTAATAATAATATATGAAAGAATTCTTAACCAACCAACATTAAAGAAACAATTTTTCCAGCAAAGGTAAAATCTGTAAGTCGAGTGAAAATTCAAATCTTAGAGTTTCTGCAAATTGTGTCTGATGACAAAAATTAATGCCCTAATCCAAAGTTATGGATTCTGATTGTGAAATTGAATAATTCAAATGTCTTAATTACTTTCATTCTTAAATTGTCCATATTTAGTCCAGACCAGGGTTGAGCAAACTACAGCCTCAGGTCTAAATTTGTTTTTATGTGGCTTTGAGCTAAGGATGGTTTTTAGATTTTTAAATGGTTGAATCAAATCAAAAACAATATTTTATCACATGTGAAAATTACTGGTAAACAGTTACTTACACTGATATAAAACTTTACCTGAATGATAAGTGGTTCACTATGCCTAAACTGCCTAAATTCATATTTTTGCATCCATAAATAAAATTTTATTGCAACACAGTTATGTTCATTTATTTATGTATTGTCTCAGTGCTTTGGCTTTAAAATGATATTTGAGTAATATCATTACTCAACAGAGGAACAGAGAATGCGTGAGCCATAAAACCAGAAATATTTAACATCTGGCTCTTTATAGAACATTTCCCAGCCCCTGATTTGGAACTGCACTGTCCAATATTGCAGCCACATGTAGCTATTTAAATTTTAAACGGTTCATAGGAAAGGATACCAAGCAAAATGAGCAAAGGGAAAGGAGCATGAGGTGAAGTCCAGAGGACACCAGGTAAACGCTAAGTTTCCTCTCCCAGTGGAGTCACACACAAAGGACTTGCTAAATTTCTTCAGCTGGGAGTTCACGTGTGAAGTGTTATCTAGGAAAGAATCTCATTAGAGACTCAGCACTGGAATTTTTATTGGAGGCTGATTATGTAGGCACCCTCAGCCTAGCAGGTGACAAAATTCCGGACTCAGAAGGAAAGCAGATGTTAAGCAAAAACTATTTGCATAAGCACAGTGAGCCACTTGTTCAGGTAAAGTTTTATGTCAGTGTAAGGAACAATGTTTACCAGTCAAGTTCCCAGACATCGGCCAAGAACTTTTGCAAGCAGGTCTTCTCGAATTATGTTTAAAATTATGTAATGTTACCTTAAATTTAAAATGCTGCTTTTGTATTTCCACTGACTATATACACTACAGCTTTTAAAAATGGAAAAAAATCTCCAACATCTTAATTGTGCAACATACTTCCTGGATTATTTTACTGGTACATGTTTTTCTATCCTGATGAACTGAGACAAAATCTTTCCTTTTGTTGATGTTAACAAGTTCTTTTTCCTTCTGTAGCTGTGCCTTTGGCTGCAACAAGTATGTTGATTACTCAAGGATTAATTAGTAAAGGTAAATATTTAACTGAATTTATTTAGCATTTTGGATATCATGTTTTTATATGTTATTTTCCTGATTTAATTTCTTTCTCGTTCAATTATGTATATAATTATGTGTAGGAGCAAGGAATTCCTTAGCTAGGTGGAAAAAGTTTTGGAAAATGTTAGAATATATTTTACATATTTATATTTTATATTCTAATAGATAATATACCATTATCTATTTTTAGATAATTATGATAGTGTATCATATGAAATATTATCACTGATAAATTTCAACATCAAAAGAGTTATGTCTCCATAGACTCACTGACACATATATCTCCATTCGAGAATTTGATGTCATCTTGCACTGTAGCAAGATAAATCTGCAAGAGCAAGATATTAATTAAAAGCCTGTGGATGGTTTACAGGGCCAGTGGAGAGACAAACCTGGTCTAGTTAGGGCATCTGCTGCACTCTTACCTAGCACTTTGTTTGAAATGCAAATTCATGGGCCCCATCCCAGAGAATAAGAATAAGAATCTCAGAATTAGGGGCTGGAATTTATTTTAACAAACTCCTGGCGATTCTCATGCACTGGTTGAAAGATGAATGACTCCCTCAGCCAACTTTGTCTTGTCCCAAATTTAGTTGGCTTAAATAGTACAGTATAGTCATGCGTAAAATTGACTTTAGAGTAATTATTAAATATGTTAGTCTCTGCATCCTAAATACACATTACTTTTACTTTGTAAACTACTCAAAATGAGAAGGTGCCCTGGGAAAGGGTAGAGACCTTAGGCTGGCCTCCACATATCCTAGAAACCTGTACTTTTAATTAGCCAGCTCCTAAAATGTAAGCATGATAGGAAATTTTAGCTTTTTCACATTAGCAGTATGTAGTACTTAGATAATAGTATTGTCACTAGTTGAGAAAAGTAATTTTGGAAGGAAATGGAAGGATTCGAGGGGTTAAAATTTTGTTTAAAGTACTCCCAAAGAACCTCATTCCAGTGTGCTACTCTGATATGAATCTTAAAAATGGAAACAAGTCAAGATACATATGCACTTAAATGTATTTTAGGACTAAGTTGTTTGATATACTAGGATTGTTTCTATAGTGTAAAACAAACTTTTATCATACTACTTTTTTTAATTTGTTTTTTTGGTGACATTGGTTAACAAAATCCAGTAAGTTTCAGGTGTACACTTTAACAGTAAGGCATATATATATTTACATTGTGTGTTTACCTCCTAAAGTTCAATTTCTTTCTGTCACCACACATTTGACTCCCTTTACCCCATCTATCTCCCTCCTCCCCTACTCTCTGGTAACCACTAGTCTGTTCATGTCATGAGTCTGTTTGTCCTGCTCATTAGGTGCTTTTAGGTTTATATCCCACATATAAGTGATATCATGTGATTTTCAAGCTTTTCTGTCTGGCTCATTTTGCTTAGTATGATTATCTCAATGTCCATCTGTGTTGTCGCAAAAGGCAGTATTTCAGCCCTTTTATGGCTGAGTAATGTTCCATTGTATATATGTCCCACAGCTTCTTTAGCCAGTCATCTATCGTAGGACACTTCAGTTGCTTCCATGTCCTGGCCACCGTGAATACTGCTGTGAACATCGGTGTGCAAATATCTTTTTGGATATGAGTTTTCAAGTCTTTGGGGTAAATACCCAGTAGAAGGATTGCTGGATCATATGGTAGATCAATTCTTAGTTTTTTGAGGAACTTCTATACTGTTTTTCATAGTGACTGTACCAATTTGCAGTCCCACCAGCTGTGTATGAGAGTTCCTTTTTTTTCTCCACATCCTCTCCAACATTTGTTAGTACTTGTCCTGTTGATTATAACCATTCTACCATGTGTGAGATGGTATCTCATTGTGGTTTTGATTTGCATTTCCCTGATAGCTAGCGATGTTGAGCATCTTTTCATATATTTCTTGGCCATTTGTATGTCCTCTAGGGAGAAGTGTCTTTTCATAGCCTCTGCGCATTTTTTGATTGGATCGTTTTTTTGTTGTTATTGAGTTGTATGAGTTCTTTGTATATTTTGGATATTAGGCCCTTAGGCCCTTATCGGAGGTGTTGTTTACAAATATATTTTCCCATTCAGATGGTTGTCTCTTTACCTTGTCAATGATTTCTTTTGCTGTGCAGAAGCTTTTTATGTAGTCTCATTCATTTATTTTTGCTTTTACTCCCCGTACCTTTGAGGTCAAATTCATAAAATCTTCTTTAAGTCCAAGGTCCATGTTTAGTTTCTATATTTTCTTCTATGCACTTTATTGTTTCAGGTCTTTTAATCAGGTCCTTAATACATGTTGAGTTAATTTTGGTGTGTGGTGATAGCAGTCTAGTGTCATTCTTTTGCAGTTGGCTTTCCAGTTTTCCCAGCACCATTTATTGAAGAGGCTTTCCTTTCTCCACTGTATGGTTTTTGAGTTTTGTTTTTTGCTATCAAAAATTATTTGCCCATATAAATATGGGTTTACTTTTGGACTCTCAGTTCTGTTTCACTGGTCCGTGAGTCTGTTTTTCTGCCAATACCATGCCGTTTGGATTATTGTTTCTTTGTGGTATAATTTGAAGATGGGCAGAGTGATGCCTCCAGTCTCATTCTTTTTTCTCAGGATGGCTTTGGAAATTCGGGATCTTTTCTCACATTACTTTTAAGGAAAAACAATGGCTCAGGGAGTTAGGAACAGAGAAATTATAGTGTCTATTATTGTACTGCTCTTTATCTTAATCCAGTCATTTAATAATGATTGGAGCTAAGCGTGGGGGGATTATGCAAAAGAAATTTAAGAGCTGCCAGTAGTTCATCTGAAGAAACAGTGTGAACACAATTTTGAAGCAAATAGAGAATATAATTAAAATAATTAAAAAGCTACTAAGTTATGTAGTAGAAACTTCAAAAGCTGTAGGTCTTCAAAGAAGAAAGATTTCTGCAGGGCTGCTATAATCTAGGAAAGTTCTTAAAAGCAGTGGATTTTGAAGATGGGCAGGATTTAGAATAGAAGAGAAAGAAGAATATTGAAGGAGGGACCCGATTATCAAAATAATAAGCATGACTATTGAGAGGAACAGTCAGGAGACTGACATAACTGGAGTGACAAAATCGTGGAGGTAAGTGAAAACTCCGTTGAATAGCTAAGGTAGAACCGGGAGAAATGGTAGTTTTGATTAGGTTACATAGAAGGTAAACTTGAAGCTTTTGGGTTTAGGTAGAGTAGGAGATTTCAAAGGTTCTATAGGTAAGTCAGGCCTTGTATTTCAGCAATAAAAACCACTGCTGCTTTGCTGTTTTTTTCCACCTAGCTTAGGAATGCCTTGTTCTTAAACATAATTAATTATATACATAACTGAACCAAATAGAAATTAAATCAGACAGAAATTCCCTTTTTCTAGTTACAGATATATCTTGATAGTACTGTTATATAGATACAGTGAAGCCTACTGAAAATATTAGGCTCTGTTACTGAGGAGATAAATTATTCTTGTAGCCAGAATCCTCTTGAATTCTAATTCACCATTTGGTGATTACTAGACTTGTCATCAATGGCAATTTATGCCTAGATGATTTCATTTGCAAAAGTCATACCACTAGCAACTGTTTGTTCCAACATCTTCCTCTGTAGTTGTCCATGTAACTGAGCCTAGAACCTTAACAGTGGAATTTAGTGTTTCATTTTTTAGAAAGGATAAATTGTTGAAAATGGTTTAACTTAATTTGTAGAATAATATTCTATTGAGCGTGTCATGTCATCTTTTTAACTTTATCAGAATTACTTTGTTATTGTTGGGGCTTAGATAATTTTGAATAACACACACAAAAAGTGACATTGGGTGATATATCACTCTTATAACTGTCTCCCAGAATTAAGGTCTTTTATTGTTGAAATTGTACTGGAGTAGTCAATCTCAAAAAAAATTGGGGAGACTTCAGAAAAAGGAATTCAGAATCCACCAAGACATTTTGCATTTAGTCAAAATGCCTAACATTTTGTATATGCTTTTATCCAGAGTGTCATACTCAACATAATCTTAGCTGCTCTGTCTCTACTTGTTCCTTTTCTATCAAAACATTTAAACATGCTCAGGTCTGTTCTAATTTGCGAATTTTAAAAAAGAAAATCTTCCTCTACATCTCTTCCCAGCTTCTTCCAGCTGCCTTGCATTTTAAGTCAGACTTCAAGAATGAGCACTTTACTTTGTACTTCTTTAACTCATCGCAGTCTGTGTCATAGATTATAGATATATTCTAACATTTCCCAAAACTTCTTAAAAGTTTATTAACACATCCTCCTTGTTAGCTTAAGTTCAATGGACAGTTTTGTTCTTGACAGTATACAACTTTAACCAGTTTTTGGAACATTCTCTTCCCTTCCATGACCGCACATAATTTTTCTCCTACCTCAGGCAACTCCCC